GGTCTACATTATTATAACTAAAGTTTTGGAGTTGGTTATGTGCAGGAAGGTATTAACATTCCTTTATGCCCAAAATTGGTACCAAGCTAATTATGCGTTATCTTACCTAAGCTTTATCAAAAGATAGTTTTATCATGCAAATCAAACAATTCCAATCCCCTTTTTTTATTTACACCATATGATCATACAAAAAATTCTATCAAAATATCAAGTAATCATGCAATCATGCAACACATATTAAATCATACCATGCAAAAATTATCATGCAAATATATTATAAATCATACCAAATATCATGTAATAATATCATGCTTAGATCATATTAAAATATTCATGCAAGAATGTCATGCAAATATATTATCATGCAATATAAAATACCTTACAAATATATTAATAACCATTCATGCAAATATATAATCATGAAATCAAATATAATCATACAAATATATTAGTAATTATATATAATCATGCAATTATGCACACAATAAATATAGAAACATGCTATTAAGTATCATTCAAATATAATATTAATAACATATAATATCACATCATGTAATAAATACAAAAATCAGGCAATAATAATAAATAAATAATCATGCAAATGAATATATTAAAAATCATATAATCACACAAACAAATAAATTAATAACCATGCAATTAACCATATAAATCATGTAATAACATGAATTAAATATATAATCATGCAAATAAAAATATATCAACAATGCAAATAAATATGCAATTAAATATATAATCATGCAAATAATAATATATAAATCATGCAAATAAACATGCAATTAAATATATAATCACGAAAATAATATATTAATAATCAAGCAATTAAATATATTAATAGTTAAGCAATTAAATATATTAATAATCATACAATTAAATACATTACCATGTAATTAACAATGTATTATAACAATATAAATCATACAAATAAATTTGCAAATAAAATATCATGCAAAAAAAATATAAAATCCAAATATTTTCTTTTCGACATCATATTAATTCCATTAATATTCAGAATAATAAAATTAACAAAAAAATAAAATCCAACAAAAAATCAAACCAAATAGAAAATAAAATCAAACCAAACAGAAAATAAAAATAAACCCAAACAGAATATAAAATCCAATAAATTAGGAAACAAAAATTAAATAAAAAAATAAAAAAGAAACAATAATCTAAAAAAGAAAGTGGAAACCCGCAGTCTGGATCGAGTCAAAGCTGGGTTTGCACACAAATCTCAGATAGGTTAAAGTGCGGGTCCGAGTTTACTAAAACAACACCACTTAATGTTAATATAAAAGTAAAAAATTTCATGTTTTCTCGTACTTTCCTTGCTATTTCTTTCTCTAGCTTCAGAACACTCAACCTTCTTTCTAGGTTTTTCCCCAGAACATCCAAACCACTGCAAAATCTGACAGAATTCCTAGAAATTGATGTAAAAAAAATCAAATGGTGTCGAAAATACAAAGAAAACCTAGAAACAGCCAAAAGTTCCAAAATATGACTGCCACGAAATTCGTCCGGCTGTCATAAACCCACCAATAAATTTAAGTTTCACCTAGAACTTCTAGCTTGAACCTAAAAAACCATAGATTTTTCAGAAAAAATATTTCAAGCCCAAAAATTCTAATTTAATTCCTAATGACCAAGAATGTTAAAAACCTAAGACTAAACCCAGAATCAAACTGCAATTCTCAAACAATCAAATTAGAAATCTCAAAAACCAAAATTTATAAACCTAAGCATGGATAAAAACCCAAAACTTTGATTGTTTTGATTATGAGTCCTTTCTGTTGATTTTGCTTTTATTTTTCTAATCACTCCCTATTATCCCCTTCTAATTGCCTCCATCCCTGTTTTGCAAATTGGGGCCATGTTTTTATAGGGCTTTCACCCCTTTTGGTTTAGAAACCAAGAAATCCTACTAAATCTAGGAGAATTTCCTAAATTCAATTTATTGTAATCTTTCCTTTTTCCATTCAATTGGGAAACAAGTTTTCCTAAATTAATTTTCACAAAATCAAAATCCAAACAAATCACACGTTATGTTTTTTTTTTTTTTAGAATTTTGTTTCCTTTCCATAAAATTAAATGTAACAAAAAAGTAAAGTCAAAAATCAAAACTATAATTAAAAATTAAAAATCAAAACCAATTTTTCTCTTTTTTTCTTTTTTTTTTTTGAATTTTGTTTCCTTTTTTTTGTCTTTTTTTTTTTTTACTTTTGTTTTTACTAAAATTAAAATTAAAAGTAAAAACAAAAACCAAATTTAAAGATTAAAATTAAAATTAAAATTAAAAGCAAAATCAAAAACAAAATCAAGATTAAAATTAGATTAAAAATTTTTGGGCTTTTAATCATTGGATCAAAATTCACTTTTTGTATTACAGCCTAATTACATGATCGAAGCCCATTTTATTATCAAAAAATTTTTCGGACAAAATGAGGTGTATAACAACCAGAGCTATTACTCACTACATCAAAAAATTTCCATTAATGAAAGATGTAAATCCATTGGAAAATCAAAAATACGCATGTCGGATGAAATGGTTGTTGCTATCTGCTCCAATAACGAATCATTGGTTTAACTGAATAACTAAATAAAATAGATAGACCTTTCTCTTCGTCTCAGGTCGATGGATCCTCCCTCTCAACTGGAGGATCCCCTATATGGATAATACACATTCCAGTTGACACTTATTACATAGTTTTCTCTAGTGTCTGAATATGTGAATGGATATTCAGATGAGTACATTGATACCAACATTCAACTTGCCTTAGCTGTTGTCAAAAAGAGAAACTCAAGGTTGCGTAGAAGAAAATACTTCCATTTGCTGAAAATTCTTCTTTTAATTCCTAAGAGAAGATTAATTTCTTATTGCTTTTTCAGGTATTTCCTAAAAAGCCAGAAAAACGTAGGGCCTCTCAGATTTTCAAAGCAGTTCTTGATTAATAAAATTAATTAGTCTAGATTACCTTCTATTTTTCTATGCTACTTTGTTAAGGTGGGCTCTTTTCATAGCAAGGATTTTGTTCTTTATCCTTCACTGACTTTATGGGAGTATCTCATTGGCCTATTGGCATCTTATGCATTTAATTCTACGGATGGTTTCAAGTATTAAGTCAATCTTCTTTATAAGAATAAAAACTGGCACTTATATTTAAAGATATGACTTGTTAGAAACTAAAACCCGTTTATTAATCTGGTTATAACTTTTATATATAGCCACAAATTTTTTTCACCCTCTTGCCTTCAAACACATATATGCCTTTGGACTCTAAAGGGGTTTTAATTCTTCTTCATTTTCAGATTGAGGGTATATCTATAGGCTCTCTTGACGATGCCTCTGGTGGTGCTGTCCCCACATTCTTCAAATCTATCAAGAATTTCTGTTTTGCTAAGTGCTTTAACCATATGGCAGAGTGTGAAAAAAATTTTGAAGGTCCCCCTTGGTTCAGGGGAACAGGTAGCCATCAATTCCATCCATTTATGTAACAAATTGAACTTCTATCCCATCTGTGCTCATTCTCTCTTCTCCATGTGTCTTTGGTGCTGTTTTCCAATATATGGTTTCTAGGAAATTGGAATACAAGTCTATAACCTAGTTACATCTCTCACAATATATTCTTGTAGTTCAATTCAAGAGTAGATGGCATATCAATGAACAGGTATAGCTTATTACCTGTGTAAGAGCATATTTGGAGATGAGATCATTGAATCTTTAACGGCTTATGAAAGAGATCAATATACCTCATAATTTTCTTAATGTTATATAACTTTATTTTACTCTTGCGTGAAAACGCGGGCTTCAAACCTAGTGTATAGTTATAACTTACCCAAGTGTGTATTTCTAGTTGAAATTGGAGGCAAGCGTAGTGAAAATGATAATAGTAGGACAAGTATAGAAAGGATAAGGGACATTCTATAGGGCATGTTTGTTGAGAAACTGAGTTCTAGATTAAGCCAATGGCAGCTTGATTTGATTGGGGTTTTGATTATTTTGGAGAAGAAAGAGGACTTGGTAGTCAATTTGGTTTCATGCTCCATTATATAGAGCTGCCCACTCATATTTATTAAAAATGAAATAAAATTTTTAAAATTATTACGAAGGAAACTTAAGGTGAAAATTTTGCCCCTAATTTTAATTTGAATTTTGAAAAGTAGTAGAAAAATAAAAGTTCTGTTTTTTTAGATAAAAAAATAGTTCTATTTCATTCTTAAAATTTTTTTTTAATTTTTTATTAAATACATTTTAATATGATAATAAAAATAATAATTTTGAATCTATTATCTTATGCTGTAATTTTTTTTTTATTTTTAGGAAAAATTTAATCAGAAGATCATATTGATACTATTTTGAAGGGTATGAGACTATTATAAAATAATTTAAAATTTAAAAATCAAAATAAAACCTAAAAAAAAAAAGGGTTGGGACTACAAGTGTGCTTTACCCATTTTATTGATATTTGTGAATTTTTTAATATTTGTTGGATAATGTTACAAGAAGTAAAATATTGTACTCAAATAATACACTTCTATATTTATTTTATTTTAAAATTTTAAATAAAAAATATTAAAATTTTTACGAGCTATAATAAAAGTTAAAAATATATATTAAATAAATATGTGAAATATATATTAAATGAATATATATTTTTTTTCTATTTCTTTAATAGTTATTGGAGCTATGTAGCCGCTTATGTTGACTGAAACTTAGAGACTTGGCAGAAATGGGAAAAAGGGGTAAGCCATCAAAATTCCGTGTGCCCGATTAGTATTACTAGATGAGTTCCGATGAAAAACACAGTCCTTTTATAAATTCCCATATGAAATAGGTAAAACATACTAAAGCTAATTGTGTGCAAAATACATTTTTCCTTCTCCACTATAAAGGCAGAGTCTTTACATTTTTTAATTTTTTCGAAAGAGAATACATTGTCCTTGACTCTTTAGTCATAAATAATCATCACCGGTTCTCATCAAGTGGCTATAGTGTCGGCAATTTCAATTGGATCCACAGTCTATTTCCACGACTCTTTTAAATGAGATGGGACCTTTCCCACTTTGAATCTTCAAGATATTGATTTTATTTTAGGAAACTTTTGTAGGAACGCGGTTTATTGACCAAGTTGCATCAAATTCTGACATATAATTCTTCTAGGCATTAGCAATTGATTTTTAAAATACTAGTATCAGTATCAATTCTTGCAGTCTTGTCCATAATCGTTCCGTAGAAGATATGAGAAAACAAGCTTCAGCAGTTTTCTTAGAGGCTCTCTTTCCTCTCTCTATCTTGTTTTTCTTTATTCCAATTTTCCATGCAAGAAATCTACAGCAATGCTCTTCTTCATGCGGAGATTTGAAGAATATCAGCTACCCGTTTCGTCTCCAGGGAGATCCTGTTAATTGCGGTGATCTTAGTTTCCAACTTTCTTGCCAGAACAACAAAGCCATCCTGAATTTTCGAGGAGGAAAGTATTACGTGAAAGGAATCTCCTATGATGAACATACAATTCGAATTGTTGATGTTAACTTAGGCAATGGAAGCTGCAGTCTTCCTTACAGATCTCTTTCAATGTATGAAGCTACCGTCGATAGTCGATATCCCTCATTAATCAATTTCTGGCAAGCCAATTTTGTGAACTGCTCCGATGGCATCCCTGACCTAGCTGATAGCGAAGTACCTTGTTTGAGTGGAAATGATTATCATTTTTATGTCAATTTCAGTGATAGGAACTTGTTTGCATATGATATTCCAAACACTTGCAAGGTCATTTCAATGGTTCCCACAAGCTCGGAAAATAAGGTGAATTACCCTTATGAAACAACCATGAAGTTGCTTGCATCAGGGTTTGATCTCAGATGGTCAGTTGAGTGTAGGGATTGCAGAGCTGCTGGTCTTTCCTGCGTGTATAAGTCTAATAATGATCCAAGGATCTTCCAGTGTGAAACTTTAGATGAATACGGTTCGTATGCCTATCTTTCAGCACTTTCTTCTTTTAATCTGTTGAAAACTTTATTAGCTTGTTTTTCTTTTAAATCGTGACCTTGAATTGTTGAGAATTATTCAAGGACTTGATTTAAATTGGTTGAACGTTTCTATGCAGATTACGAAACTCAACTCCAGATTGCGATTGCCTTTCTTGTTTCGAACTCTGTGATTGGTATAATTTCCATTTTCCACTTCCTTGAAGAAATTCAGTTGTTGCTCGCAATGCTTTTTTACCTTAGACTAAAAGTCTGTTAAATATTTTGGCTTTGTAGATATGGCATTGGTGGTCAGATTCATCTTTGTTCCCTTGGTTGTGTTTGCTTTCCTTCTCCACAAATACTTTACTGGGCAAAAGACGGTTGTTGATGCTGAAAATTTTCGACACAGTCAGATACTCTTGACTCCCAAAAGGTACTCTTATACGGATATACTTGCCATGACAAACGATTTCAAACATAAACTTGGGCAAGGTGGCTTTGGCTCAGTTTATAAGGGCCAATTACTAACAAACGGTTGCTTGGTTGCTGTTAAAATGCTTGTGAGCTCTAAACTTAGTGAGGAAAATTTTATCAATGAAGTTTCTACTCTCAGCAAGATTCAGCATTCAAATGTAATCAAATTATTGGGATTCTGTTCCGAAGGATCAAAACATGCTCTTGTCTATGAATATATGCCAAATGGATCTTTGGACAAGCACATTTTCTCAAAGGGAGGAAATGCTGGGCCCTTCAGTTGGGATAAACTCCATGAAATTACTCTAGGAATTGCTGAAGGTATTGAGTTCCTACATAGCAAGTTTGCTTTGCGCATTGCTCATTTTGATATTAAACCTCGGAATATTCTTCTAGATCAGAATTTTGTCCCCAAAATTACAGATTTTGGTTTTGCAAAATTTTACCCAAAGAAGAATGATTTCATATCCATTTGTGCTACGAATGAAACAGTAGAATACATGGCACCTGAATTGATTTCAAGAGATCATGGAGCTGTTTCATGCAAATCAGATGTCTATAGTTTCGGAATGTTGTTGTTGGAATTGGCTAGCAGAAGAAGGAATGTTAACGAGTCAACTGATTCAAACAAAGTCTACCTCCCTTCATGGGTTTATGACCAAATAAATGAGGGAAAAGATATGGAGCTTGAGAATGTGATTGAAAGTGAGACCACCATAGCAAGAAAGATGTTCATAACTGGGTTATGGTGCACTCAAACCAATGCATTATATCGCCCCTCAATGGCCAGAGTTGTGGAAATGTTACAAGGAAAAATTGATGGCTTAGAACTGCCTCCCAAGCCTGTTTCATTTTCTCAAAACGTTTATATAAGCGAGCCTCAATCTGATTCTCCAAAGGAACTGCTAATACCTGAGTCAATGCAGAGAAGCGCATAACAATTCTCCACTTTTTGTTTGGCCCAATATTGTGAAACTGTAATCAGCATAAACAGCTGTTTGCCGCATTTATTTTCAGGTTGTGCCTGGAATCTAGTGTGTGTACAAGTTCATCAATAAAATTTCAAGCTAGTATAAGCCAATTAAGTGTTCGGTCTAGAAGGAAAATGTATGTATTTATTTAGAACTTCATCTGTTGCAGAACACCTCCAGCCAAAGTTTGGGAGGTTTGTGTTTCTCATGTTTATATATGTAAATGTTTTTGAAACACTACATGAAAGTGATTTGTAAATGTTTTTACAATTATATTTTTTTACTGTAAAATCAACAATATTATCATTAAAAAATATTTATCTTATCGTCTTGTTACTTTACTCGGTGAATATACCATGACATTGTCTTTACCGGAAGCGAGAGTGTTGGACATAGACATTAGCCAACAACTTCTCTAAAGTTTGAATTCAATCAATTTTCGAAAATCATAAGACAAACAATCAAAGAAAATTCAAGAAATAAAAAATTTCCGAGATCGATGGTTTACTCCTGGTATGGGTATCTACATCATCCTTACCACATATTTCCCATTCCACAAATTCGTTTGAAAATGCCCTGTTTCTAAAAAGCTTCAACAGAAGGAAGTAAACGAGGCCTGTTGACTAAAGCTCCATCGAATTTGTTCTATAAACTTAAACTTCCAAACTTCCAAACTTAAGCAATCAAATCAGGAAACACCTTCTTTATTCATCCATCTCTATCCGCGCAGTAGGAGGTTCTGAGAATGAAAAAACCATCAGCTGTCTCGACTGCTCTGTTTTCTCTGTTGATCTTTCTACCCGTAGCTGTGATCCAAGAAAGGAAAACTCCAAAGCTATGTTCTTCTTCATGTGAAGACATTAAAAATACCAGCTATCCTTTTCGCCTGAAGGAAGATCAGGCTGGCTTCGGTGATCCTGACTACAAACTATCTTGTGAGAAGAACAAAACCATCTGAATTTCCATGAAGGAAAATACTAAGTGAAATGAATTTTCTATGATAAACGCATGATTCGTGCTGTTGACGTTAACTTAGCCAATGGAGGCTAGCTACAGACTTTCATCAAATATACATGGGAATAGATACAGTGGTGGGTGATGGTAGATCTGACGGAATATCAGCTTTTACTTGGAATTCCATGCCAATTTTATCAGATGCTCCAAGAAAATCAATGAAATGGTTAATAGAACAGTACCGTGCTTGAGTGGTTTATATTAATTTCAGTGACTAGGAGTTGAATGATCACGAAGTTACAAGTTCTTGCAAGCACGTTTTATCGGTCCTTCTCCTTTTAGTCTATTGTCTAGATAAGCTGAACCACGCTTCTGATGAAACAATCCTGACTGATTGCAGAGACTGTATTGCCGGGCTACTGCAATTTCCTCTCTTTAGACATCCCCACAACATTTAGCTGTGATCTTTTCTCTTTTAAAACCGTCATTGGCTGCTTATTAAAATGGAAATACTTATATTTTTCTTTTTTTAATGTATTCTTAACTGTTATTAGAGGTCTTCTTTTAAAGAATTGTGTATATATGCAAGATTATGCAGCTGATGTTCTGCTGCTTATAATTGTTTTTAGCGTATATTCTGTTCGGTATAAACTTTCATTTCCTAATTGAAATTTCAGCTTTTACTTTGCTACCTCATTTCCTTGAACTAAGCATCTGTTACGTTTTTTCTATAATTGTTACTATCGGATTCATTCTTGTTCCACTGATTTTTTTGGTTTCATTCTCCACAAATACCTCTTTAAGAGAAAGAAGAATGATAACACAGAACATTTCCCAGAAACTCAGCGGCCATTGTCTAGCAGTGAGAGAAATGACCTTTTAGCAACGAAAATCGTCGTCGTTAATAGTTTTACGTCAGAAAATAGTTTTCGCAAAGAAATCTTCATCGTTAAAATCCATAATAAACTTAGGCATTCCGTCACAAAACATCTCCGCGGTTATAAGTGGATTATTAGCGGCAGACTCTGTCGCTAATATCTAAATCCCGTCACTAAATGTTCTTTTCATTTTTATAAAGTTTAGAAATTTAAAATAAAATTCCGTCACTAAAACATCTGGTGACATGGTCGCTAAATATTATTTTTCTTAATATTTTAAGAAACACAATATATATTTCCGCAGACAAAAGCGATTAGCAACAGAAATTCTGTCGCTAAAGTAAAAATAAAATACACGAATCCATTGCTTCATCTACATTAGCAATGAAAATTTCATCGCTGATGCATTAATTTCTGGGATTTTAAGAATCGATCCTTTTGGTATGGATCCCTTTTGGATTTTCAGCCAAAAAATATTCTGTATGAAAATATTTGTTTTAAAATACAATAAAGAATAGATAAAATATAATAAATAAAAATTTTCATTTCATTGATAAAGAATAATCTTTACAAAATTATTACGAACTTTATACAAATATTTAAAGCAAATAATCTTTGCAAACTTTTACAAATATTCAAAAGAATAATCTTCTAGAACTTTATACATACTTGCACTATAGTTTCCTAATGTGACTCACTTAACACCCCATCGTATCCAAGCCTCAAAAATACAAATAAATTGAACTAAGAAAATTGAACAGAGATAACTCAAGCCAAAATTTACCAATATTTACTTGACCGAAGATCAGATACTAAAGTACTATTCTCAAAAGCCTTTATTCAAGAACTTAAGCGAATAGAAAACTAACTACACCATGTATATGTATTTAATCCTTTAAAGCAATACACTCAACAAAACTAGAGTTATTAACTTATTGGATATCAACAAAATCAAGAGTTGCCGTTGCGACAACAGGATCCACAAACTCACTTTAATCAACATTACAATATTGCTAAGCATAAGTTTAAGAAAAAAAGAAAGTTTAGCTTCGTTAAAATGCATACTGGTATGATCATGATATAGTGAATACTTGAAGAAAGCTCATGTAACTTCTTGTAGCACTAACAAATTACTACTGATCTATCTAAAGGCTTATATTTAAATTCAAATAGTTAATGTCACACACATCATTATGCTTCGTATTAATCCACTCAAGTTCATTAATTTTTTACGAACCTACAAAAAGGAAAAGATATTAAGCCATACAAAGGGAAAGGAGGCAAAACCATTCCAAACAAATACAGTTGAAATTATATAAAAAAGTATGGTATGACAAAAGGATATAATAGAAAGCACACAGTTTTAAGATATAATACCTCTCCCTTGAAATGATGGTACCTTCCCAAAGCTGGTATAGCATTTGCAGCAGCAAAAGCTATATCTATGAAGACATGATGTACCTGTTTGGTACACAATAGAACCCTCACAGTTATCAATATAGAAAATGACATGGTACAGCGTAAGTCAGATAATAAATGTTATAAGGGCAATTCTTTAAGCTATAGTCATTCAAATTAAAATAATTTATAACACTTCTTATTTAGGTGGGCCATAGTCGAATAACTATTGTCTTATATAGAGAAGTTTCACCAGTCCTATCAAGATAAATCTTGGCCATGTATTTTACTTGGATGTGAAATGTATGCAAATGCTAATTCGGAGAAAGACAAATACATGAACCAGAGTAAAAGCAGTGTTGCTAAAAGGATTTTTCTTTCACAAATGGTGGCTAAGAATACATGTTCTACTAAAAAGAATAGAATCAAACACTACAAAATTCAAAGATTGCAAAACTTGTTGAGAAATGCAGTGTTACAAATCTGAGAAGACAAAGATATGGCGCAGAACTGAGGAAGTGTAGGTAAAAGGATTTTCCTTTCACAAATTTGGCTAACAAAAGCTCCAATAAAAAAGAATTAAACCAAACACTAGAAAATTTCAACAATCGAGATATTTGTTGAGAAATGCAGTAAGTTACCACATAACTAATCATTTATATGTTCTTTCCTTTTTCTTGATTAGGTGTAATTTTAAAGATCAAAACTTAATGAGCTTACAGATCTCAACAAAACTCTATTTGCAGGGAAACTATATCCATCCTTTTCTTAAACAATAAAACATTTGAGTTTAAAAATAAAATCATATATAAACTATGCTTTTCATACCAATTACTTTTGAAATCCAAACTCTCACCTCAAACCCACCTTGATGGCTCTATCAAAAATCATAATAAATAGTTGAACAAAATCCCAATATAAAGAAACGTGATCTCATTCTAAATAAATTAACAAAAAAAAAAAAAAAACTTAGAACGACATCATACTCAATATACAATTTACCGAAAAACTTGACATGAGATTAAAGAACAAGCATTTATAAAATTACACCTTCAAACAAAATTTCCTTCTCCGGCAACCAACTCAGCAGTCTCTACTTATAATAATTATAAAATTACAGCTTCAAACAAATTTAGATATTCCTATATTCTTTCAAAGGGAAAACAGAGTATTTTTCTCATTCCAATTTTATAAAACAAAAAAGAACCAAAAATCAATAAACCACATAATTTCAATCCTATAATAACAAACTGTGATCACATTATTTGTCAAGAAAATATCCAAATAAGCCAACCCAAATAAATCAGGGAACCTCCATTAAAAGCAAATGCCTAGTGAACATTAAACTGAAAAGCACAACCTTTCCAACAACATGTCATGCGCCAATTAGCCAAAGCAAGAATTGAACTCCTTAACACAAAATTAGGCTGGGCTGTAGAGCTTCTCATAGGCAGCGGCGATTTCGTATTCCATTTCCTCAGGGCCATCGTCAAACGCAGGTGGTGGGATGAATCCTTCAGCGACAGGGTCCAAGGAGGGTTGCGCCGGGCAAGGGTGGCGCGACGAGGGAGGGGAGGGACTCTGGAGGGTTAAGGGAGGCGGCGGAGGTAGGGGATCGCGGGGAGTGTGTTAGAGCTGATGTGGTTAAACAGAGAGCAGAAGCGGTTATAAATACGGGTGCTCATTGATTAATTTCCACCCGAACTATCCAACAATTTAATTGACCCGAATATTTTATTTTATTTTTATTAATCGAATCAAAATTTTTATTTTTAAAAATTAATCCAATGAATTAATTTCAGTTAACAAATTTTTTTTTTTTTGAGATTGCATATGGATATTCATAGAGCACATTCACTAAACACATTCAAAAGATTAAATGTCACTATTTAAAAAATTAGCTTTATTTATCATAAAATTTGGTTCTTGTGGACGCAAACAGAATGTAATACTGCTAAGGTAACAATAAATCCTTACAATATTCTTAACACAAAGCAAAATAACTTA